TTTGCTAGTTTTGGTTGTTGTATTGTGACCAGTTTGTAGCAAATGCAGAATTTTCAGCATTGTTGATAGTAACCAAGGAAAAGTTCTCAGTAGATCCTGATCTTGTAGTTTCCTTCTTACCCAGCATAACGCTTCGACGACTTTCCTCCCTTCTTACTTCCGAGAAGACTTCTCCAATGGAAGGAAGAGGTTGTCTACCAAGGATTCTTCCTCTAACCTCATCAAACTCAACGTTCAGTCCAACCAAGAATTTAAAAATTCTTGCACTCTCCACAGTTTTCTTGTGGTGATTCCAATCATCTGAATTCTTCCACTCATAATTGTTAAACAGATCCAGATCTCGCCAAAGGCCCTTGAGGGCATTAAAGTACTTAGACATGCTACCTTCTCCTTGTTAGATTTCTCCCACCTTTTGTTGTAACTCATAAATTTGAGATTAGTTTCCAAGATCAGAATACATCTCAACAAAACTATCCCAAAGTTCTTTTGTAGTGGGGTAGCACATATAATTGGAACTGATGTCCTCATCCATAGAGTTCACCAGCCATGACATAATCATGGAATTTTATGCATCCCATGTAGCGTATGATGGATCTGTCTTCTCAGGTTCTTTGATTTCACCAGTCAAGTACCCGATCTTGCCTCTCCCTCGAATATACATACGTACAGATTGGGACCAACGAATAAAGTTTCCTTCTTTGAGTCGAATAGTCATAACTTGGACGGAATGGGACTCGGTATGGGTAATCTTGGTTTCATTGTTTTTTGTGGTTACAACAGGGGGAGACACAGATGAAATCTCAAACATAGTGAAGAATTTTTTCTAACAATTTTATTCCTAGAAAAAAGCCTTGCTCTGATACCATAAAGACTATAGAATTGGAATCGAAGTCATATGATTCTTATACTGAATTGATATAAATAGTAGGTATTTATAGGATTTACAGGAAAATTAAGTAAGGAAAGAAATAATTAGTAAACTAATCAATCTCTAAAAATCCTACAATTGATCCTATACTAGTAGCAAAGATCCTACAGCTAGCAAAAATAAATTGTCAACAGCTACTCTAATCTAATTATAGACAACAAATATTCTGACTTTGATATTTTATAACAATTTTCATATCATAATTTTATTCATACATTTCAATGAGTTTTTCTTTTACTATCTAGAATTATCACTAAAGAATTATACAAAATCAATGTATTTAAAAAAAAAAAAAAAAAAAGGTTTGAAATAATCCTCCATTTGGGGAAAATTCCCCGCCAAGAGCTGGGAAGAATTTTCCCACGAGGATTAATGCCCGCAAATCCCTAACCTCCGAGGCAGGGCAAGGGAGGGATAGGATGGGGATTCCCCGACCTCCCTATCCTAGGGATGAGGTGGGGACGGGTGATCCCCCAACCAACCTCGATTAGCCTTGCGCCTATCCTTACTGTAGCATCTATACTTTTGTTTTTCTCTTTCTCTTCGTCACTTTCTTCTTTCTTCTATCACTTTCCCCTCTCTTTTGTAACTTTCTTCTCTCCTCTCCTCTTTCTTTTTCCTTCCTCTTTTCTTTTTCTCCCCTTCTTTCTCTTTGTATTCTCTTCTGGCCCTAATTTATTTTTTATTGAATCTAAAATTTATTCTGGTAGAATTCTCAGCTAGGATTTATGAAAGGATTATGGGTTCGATTTATTTTGTATTACTAAAGTTTATTTTGAAAAAAATTGAAGCTTGGATTGAAAAAATGTATTGGATTTTTGGGATTTGAATTATATGTGATTTAATCGGTTTGTTGTTTGATATTAGAGTTGAAAATGCAGATAGAGAAGTATTTTAAAAATGAAGAAACAAAATTGAAGAATAGGATTTAAGGATTTTAATTTTAGGAATTGGAGATTGAAATTGAAGATGAAGAAATGAATTGCGTTGGAGGTTGAATCCATCTAATGTCATCGAATTGAGATTTGAAAAAATGAAAAGGGATTGGGGATTTTTTTTATGCAGTAACCTGGTTTTGTCCCAAAACCGGTTGAACTGAAGGTTAGCTACAGTAACCCCGATCCAACTACAAGTCATACCAAGTGACTTGCATATTCCGAGATTTATCCCTTTAAAACCCGGCCCAAGCTTCGATTCCCGATTAAACGAAGTCACCCGGGCCGAATTTTAAAACACTGATTTAGAGAATAAGTCTAACCTTGTGTCTTACCGTTTGAAGATATCTCTGTTTGTACCATTTAAAGGAAGGAAATATCTAAAAAAATCGATCTATTCTAAGATATAACTCTCTTTTAGAAGTACTACATAATTGAAAAATAGCTAGGGAGAGTGTTAGATATCTTTAATGGTGCTCGTTATTTTAAAGAGCATCTTTCGTATAAATAAAAAAACATCTTCATTGATTTTTAAATATAAAGAACAACGTTTTTATTTAAATCCAATAGACAATTAAATTTTAGTAGAGAGAATATGTTTTTTCAAGAAAGAAACTTAATAGGAGAGATCAATCATAAATAAAATACATAGAAACTTTGAATTTATTATTTAAAATTAGGATAGAGAGTGAAATTTGACTCTCTAAATGTGGAGAGTCAAACTCACTCTTTAATTTATATTTAAAGAAACAAGAGTCTATTAGACTCTTGTTTCTATAGATAAACTCTTTATAATAAAGAGTTTGGGTCATATAAAGAGTCGTTTGGAGATGCTCTTAAAGCATCTCTAATAGTGCTCTTTATTTTAAAGAGCATCTTTCATATAAATAAAGAACATCTTCATTAATTTCTAAATATAAAAAACAAAATTTTTATTCAAATCCAATGAACTCTTTAAAGTTAATGAAGATGTTTTTTATTTTCAAAAAAGAGACTTAATATGAGAGAGAATTAATAAATAAAATGCATAAAACTTGTAGTTTATTAATTAAAATTAGGATAGAGAGTAAATTTGACTCTGTAGATGTGAAAAGTCAAACTCACTCTTTAATGTATATTTAATAAAGAGTGTATTGACTTTTGTTTTTATAGATACACTATTCATAATAAAAAGTTCAAGTCATATAAAGAGTCTTTTGGAGATGCTCTTAGATTAGTTAAAACAATATTGTTATTGGAAGATTAAAAGCCAATTTGTAGAATTAATGCTTCCTTGATATGGCTAACATATGCATGTATGATACATGAATCCAAAATTGCTTGATATATTGTCTTGTTATACCAAAATATAAGAATATATAAACTTTTTGAGTTGACAAAGTTATAAGGTAGTTAAATGAATAGACTAGTCCACATGGAGTACACGTTTGATATATATGTTTAGCTAGCAATTGTATCATTCAAATTATAATACCGTTTGATTTATAATCCAAACATCTAGACTTAAGGGTAATACTACACTTACAACCCAATTTTACAATTTTTCTCTCACAATCACGACGTAATAGCTTGCAACTGATCAGTTCATAATTGGAGAGGCGAGACCCATTGCAAACTGACCAATTGTAAGTTGTCATGTCAGGATTGTAAGAGAAAGTTTGTAAGATTTGGTTATGAGTCAATCTTTATTGTTCAAGTTAATGAATTATATCTCCTTAGAATTTTGACTAAATAATAAAATTCACCCTAAGCTTTATGAAACAACCTCTGTTTTAAAACCCAAATCAGACCGACCGGTCCAACCGATTCGATCGGGACCCGACCTTAACTTTGGTTCAAGTTAACATAAAAACTGGAAATAACATACAACCCGCTTTGAACCAGTTATAGACCGGTGGAATAGTACAAAATCGTCGGTTTGGCCGGTTTGGAGCTTAAACCGGTTCACTATTTTAGGATTAATCTGATCCCTAATTCCTAAACCAGATTTGCAGCACCGTTTCATTCTTCATTTCATTGAGCTAGCAAGCATTCTCCATTTCATTTCAATACCATTTTCATCTCTAAATACCAAATTGTATCTTTCATTTTCATCTTTTATTCTTCTTCACTTACTCTAAAATCTACCATGCAAAGAAGTAAGGGGAGGGAAAGGAAGAAGAAAGAGAAGAGGAGACGAAGAGAAAGAGTAAGCAAAAAGAATAGAGGAAGAAAAAGAAGAGGAGACGAAGAAGAAGAGAGGAAAAAAGAAGATTAGAAGAAATAAAAGAGGAGACGCGAAGAAGGAAGGAAGAAGAAAGAGAAGAGGAGACGAAGAGAAAGAGTAAGCAAAAAGAATAGAGGAAGAAAAAGAAGAGGAGACGAAGAAGAAGAGAGGAAAAAAGAAGATTAGAAGAAATAAAAGAGGAGACGCGAAGAAGGAAGGAAGAAGAAAGAGAAGAGAAAAAAAAGTTATAGGAGAAAGAGGGGAAAGGGATAGAAGAAACAAGAAAGTGACGGGTACAAAAGAAATTGATGGGGAGAAAGAAAAAAAAAAGAAACATGAAAGTAATGAAAAGAGAGAGAAAAAGAAGAAAGATGAAAGTGATGGAGAGAGAAAAAAATAATTAATAATAAAAGTTGCTGGCTATTTCAAACTTATAAGGACTCATACGTAAATTTTAGAGGTGTATTTACAGACTTTTAAACTTATAAGGACTGATAAATTATTCAAAGATGTATCTCTTATATACTGGTCAACTCGGGAACCGATCCCTTGACCTGGTCAAAAAGCGGTCTGGTTTTTAAAACAATGGAAATAACATAAATTCATTAACTATTAAGTCTTAGGTGTTAAAATTATTGACAAGAAAGCAATTCGATAAATAGTTATAAACTCATAATAGTGTAAAATGTAATTACTTACGATAGAGAGGTTTTTGTTATTTAAGAAACCTCGTCAGGATTTGTATTATTACATTCTTCTAACAGATCGATGTCTTTTAACTCATATTTCAACAAACTTCAATGAGGCTACCCTTAACAACAAAACTTCTTTCTTTAATTAATTCTAGAAAACAAGCAAGCCAAAAAAATCATAATGAAAGAATGCACTGCTCTATTATTTATAGAAAAGAGTTTTGACATTTTGAAAAAAGAAAAAACTCCAGAAATTATACAACATTAACTAAGGACTAGTGATAACTTCACAATCCTATCTACTACTTCCTACAAAATTGCAACCTACAGAAGATCAAATTTGCCAAATCTTGTACAAATCATAAGTAACTAACCGCTGCCATAAATAATTTAAGTCTAAAGTTCATTTAACTTTAGAAGATCAAGTGCTGAACAGGCATCCCATACTACTTTTCAACTAGATACCAAAGTAGTACCTCCAAAGTTTAGCATTCAAGCAGTTGCTTGGACTTGGACTGGCCCATCAGATCTAAAACCTAGCCCATGACCATGACCGCTTCCCCTTCCACGACCACGCCCTGCAACATTACATGGATAAATATTTGAGTAAAGTGCTAAACAAGTGAATGGCATTATATTCGCAGCAAAATTGACCATGCCAACGAAAACAATGAGAAAAGGGAAGGCAATATAACATATTCGTTGTATAAACAATAATAAAGTGCATGAGCAAACCCACAGAATCTTAGTTATTGCAAACAAATCACAGCAGGAAACAGTTTGTCAACATGGTTATGATTTATTGGTACCAGGCGAACAGGTAATCACTGCTTAACATAGTTACTCATTTGATATAAAACTTTTAGCAGTGTCTGAAGCATATCTTTTAAAAGAGAAAAACCAGCTTAAATCGAGAGATGTTTCAGAGAACTATTTTCACTTTGGATAAAACAACAGGAAAGAATATATTTATTGAACAGATTAGCACAACCAAAATCAGAGATGAAAGCAGGAGTCCTTTTTCATATTATTTTATACATAGGGCGTTTCTAAAAGTTGATTTAGTTTAACAGGGCATTTTGTATTGCAGGCAAACCATTAGATAATTAAAACTTTGAATCGGAAACCAAAGATAGTAATCACGAGTCCACTATATGCTTGTAGGTAGGTAACAATGTACATACTTATGCATGCAAGAGGGAAATACTTTTCCTATATATACATTTGACTGAACTAAAAAGATTGAAAATTTTAACAGTAGGAACATTATAATTACAAACTAATGACCACCCAAAGTCATTAAGAAAAGCTTAAAACATACAAGGGATTGGATTTGCATCAGCAAAATAGACAGAAATGAACCACACAAAAGATTTCGAAAGAGAATGAATTCATGTTGGCTGCACACTGTGTAACTGTTCTTTTAAAGATGTACAGTGGACTAAAAGGACAAGAGAAAGCTTTGTGAATAAAGATAGAAACTACCTCGTCCTTGAGGAGGGAAGGCTCCTGATCCACTATAACCATTGTTATATCCTGACTCATGCTGCATGTTTCCACCACCATACCACCTTCCGCGTCCACGGGAACTGCGTCCTCTGGCATAACCTCGACCTCGACCTCCATATCCACGTCCACCATCCCAATGTCCATTACTATACTCGGCTACACCATTGCCAGTACCTGCATAAACAGAAACACCAGAAGTTTTTGCTGTTTCACAACATGCTCATGTGAATTCAGTAGGGGATATGACATGGAACAGCCAGGGCAAATTTTATCCAGCCAGCATGGTAGAAGTAATAAAAAAATGAGGCCAATCTTAACACCACCAATATCTAAAAAACAAATACAATAATTTCAACATTGTGGCACCAAGAACCACTTAAAAATGTCTCCATGAAAAACCTAGTAAGTTAACAACCATACATATTCAGTAAGTAATATCTTTCTCTCTGTCATAGCTGAGAAATACCAACATTGTCATATTGATAATAACTCAAAACTTATGTATTTTATATTGCCCCTGTGAATAAGCTATTGTTGATCACAATAATATTGTAGCATTAAAAAGGACTATGCGCGTATACTGGGTCAATGGAAACAGTTAAAAACTTATCTCTACTCATGGAATTGCCCTTACCTCCGTTCTTTCCTTGACCTTGATCATGACGTACCCTGCCTCGCATGCCAGGTGCGGCTTCTAAATTGCATGAGAGAGAAGTATATATATTAACTTAGACTAACACATTAGAGTGAATAAATTGCACAATCAGAAAAAAAAAAAAAAAAAAAATTAAAAATTGCTCACCTCCATCATAATATTCAGTTAACGGCTTCACTTGATCAACTGGGATTGGTGATTGGTATCTGTCATCATGCAAACAAAAGTCCAATAAAATTAACATGCATCAAAGTTGTCAATAGAATACCTGCATAAGTAGTTAGACAATAAACAGTTTTGTAAATACATTATGTTTGTATGCATCACGGAACACAAGGGTCATTTCTCTAAAGCACGTCATAATGCGACAAGCAGTACCATCATAAGTGAAGACATGAAGATGAGAAGCAAAAACACAAAGAATGGATAACAAGAAAATTGTTTCAATTCCATCACAATACACAGAACCTAGTCTATATAAAGTCAATAAACCATCTTTTTCAAACATGGCATATGATGCAAATTACACAATGAGTGCGTTAGAAAAATTAATTGTTAACTGGACATTGCCAATTCTTCAAAGTTTGCATTACACCAGAGTTGTCATCATATTACCATATACATGGTAAAGGGTGTTTTTATAGAATCCTCAATGGCCGTAATGGAGAATACATGAATCTCACATTAACTTCCATTTATATCAACCTTGTTAGGGTGATCAGCAACTAGAAGTAACTAAACCCCACAAGAATGCACCAAATAACTAGTCAAGTATCTCTCCACAGCATCCTTGTGATTTAAAAGTGTACATATAAATATGAACGTATCCAGCTGACTAATCATGACTCATCTAATTTAAAGCATCTTTCAAAACCAAAGTTTTACTTGAGCCCAAAAGCTTCTTCAAAAATCCACCATGATTGCTAAAAAAATGACATGATGCTTCTATAACCATCTTTATTAGAGAACATCACACAAATATCTAAACTATTGATGACATCGAAATGGAACTCTAACAACTCTAGTATATCCAATAATCTAATAATTCTTTCTCATAAATCATTTCCATTGAATCAACCACTACAAAGCAACTACAATGGCTTCAATAGAAAAGAATGCACGAAAAACTAGCATATCATAAACACCAAAAACTCAAAATATCTAATTTCAGTTGTCATTACCCTAGGGAAGATGAATCCAGCTCCTTCTTAGACAAAATAATTGTGATAACTGAAACATGACGGGTAGTCTCTAATCTGCATAAACAAATCATCAATCAGCCAAATAATATCAACAAATTAATTAACACCAAGAGATATAGTTCTTACGGAAGAAGCCCTTCTTCTAGAGGCTCCCATGTGTCGGTTATGTCAATAGACCCAGTTGAAGTATTTTGGTGGAGACCAACAATCCTTCTCTGAAATAAGCAAAACGCATTCAACATGAATAAACATTGACACCCGATGCCACAAACTTAAATCGTAAATTATTCAACATTATAAATATGTATTGATTTTGGAGAAATGGCACAAATAAGGTTAAATAAATAGGCACCTTAAGCAACTCAGCAATCATCACAGTCTTGTTAATAGCTCTGCCAGTGGCTTTGAGGATAATCTCATTGGCACCTTTATCCTGATCAGGAACATCTCATAGAATCAATCTTAATAAATTAAAAAAGAAAAAGTACTCATATTTGGACAAAAAATACCTGCAGGAGAGAAATAGCATAAGAAATGTAATTCCTGAGTCTTCCCTGAGCCGTTATTCTCAACTCATTCTCACTTATAGCAGCCTCCGTCCTCGGCTTCTCCACTTTCTGGTACCGATCCATTTTCCTCTCTCTAAGCGAACACATTTCAATTAAATCTTCTTCTTTGTCAGCAAACAAGAAAAAAAATAATTTTTTTTTAACAATTCACGAATTAATTAATTAATTAATTAATCAACAAAAAATAGGTTATATTCAGAATTTCATATACGAAAAATCCGAAAATAAGCTAAATGGAAGAGAATGCGGAGTTGTCAAGGTTACCGTGAATCGAAACGGCGTCGTCTGGAGGAAGTTTTGATGGCTTGCTTTTAGTTTCAGTGAGGCTGAACTTGGAATGAAGGCGCCCTTTTAAGCGTTTTTATAGTGGCGGGGTTAGGGTTTACGATTGAGGGTCCCGAATTTTATGACCTCTGTACTGATTGAAGATTCCGTTGATGGCTTGCCACGTCAGTACTTGCTGTTACTTTCTCAATTATTTTTAGAGGGGGGATTTGTTAAAGTGACTTGCATATATATGTTTACCAATAATGTTACGGACATCGGGACTGTGCATAAAATTCTTACACCAAATTACGCGTCCCATGACTCACACCAGTCACATTTTACATTCACAAATATTTTGCCAATGAACGGCCATTCATCAACTATGGACGACCGTTCTTGTTTTTTGACGGGAGTCCATTATATGTGGACGCCGGTCCATGAGAAATGAACGATGGACTCCCGTCCATATTATATGGACGGGTGTCCACCTATAATGGATGTCCGTCCATAGTTTAAATTTAAAAAATTTGAAAACCAAAATCATGGACTTCCGTCCACATTCAATGGACGGGAGTCCATACTAATGAACGCCCGTCCAAACTTTAAATAATAAAATATTTCAAAAAAAAATTAATGGACGGGTGTTCACCTTTAATGGACGCCGGTCCATTATTAATGGTTTGAAAAAATTATAAACAAAATTCAGGGACGCCTGTCCATATATTATGGACAGCCGTCCTTGAATAATGGACGGGCGTCCACACATAATGGATGCCCGTCCAGACTTTAAATTACAAAAAAAAATTTGAACATCCGTCCATATTTCATGGACAGGCGTCCCTGATTAATGGACAGGCGTCCTCGTTACATGGACGCCCACCTATTGTGCAATGAGTATTTTAAATGGGATTTAGGTCAAATTAATTTGGCTCCCAAATAATTTTAAAAAACAGTGCTCTTCTTCTTCGTCTTCATTCCCCATCTCCGCTCTTTTTCTTCGTCTTCATTACTCATCTCAGCTTTTCTTCTTCATCGATGTTCTCATCTGCCGCTTTTCTTTTCGTAGTTCTTCATCTGCCGCTATTCTTCTTCAAGTTCCTCATCTACCATTATTATTGTAAGTGTTTTAGTCTATTTGGTTTCTATTAATCACGTTTTATTGGTTTTGATTGATGATTGAGCTTGTTTTACAGCGTTCAATTCGTTGTCTTGGTTCGTCATCTGCCGCTCCAAGTCATGAAGCCATCTGCCATTTTTCGAGTAAGTTTTAGTTAATTTGGTTTGTGTTCATAATGTTTTATTGGGTTTGATTGATGATTGAGGTTGAGTGGCTGAGATATGAAGTTGTGTTTGATTGATGATTGAGGTTGTGTTTGATTGATGATTGAGGTTGTGTTTGATTGATGATTGAGGTGAAGCCACCTGCCATTTTGAGCGTGTATTTTTTGATGCAAAATTTTGTTACCTTTTTGGGACAGACAATAGAGTGTGTCAGACAATTGAATTTTGTAAAGCTTTATGTCTGAGTTTGGAGTTACACGCCATTAGAAAGGTTTGATCAAGCTTTAACGTGCAATATATAAGTTCACTTATATTTGACTTGAATAATTTAGCATGCAATGATGGGAGACAATTATAGCATAAAACCAAAACTTCTAGGTTTTGAATTTGAATATTGCTCCACTAAAGAGAGAACACTTTGCTTCTACCAACAAACTTAAAATTGTTTGTGCCGTCTCACTTAAGATGGAGATTGCTATTAGAACCACACATTTATGCCTAAAAGATAGGTGACTTATTTTCTTCATATACTTGGTGGAGGCAATTACATTTTTGTTTAATGTTGAAAGTGAGAACATCTAAATGAGTAGTATTATGTATATGATGCCTGTAACACTATGTATGAAAGAAGACAAGAAGGGAAATCAGTATTCCCAGTAGAAACCAACTATTGCTATTGAAAATCTGTGTTGTTACTATAGAACCTCTGGATACTATTACGGATGAGTGTAGAGTTGTAGGTGAACTCGTCGTTGGAGCAGAGGCATTATCATGTCCTGCAAAATTGTGATGTTCAGTAACGGGCCATAGTTCCACTTGCTTTAAACACTTTTAGTCATGGGTTAAATCTCCAACATGCATTATACAACCCAGTCTTGCAATAATTTGATGATATGTAGGTTTAACCATATTATAAGACAAAAATGCATCCCTCGCAATGACATAGCAAAGACTTTATAACGATATATCATTGCCACCTTAGTTTGCTATGCACCAACAAAGTAGTTCAAGTGGAATGTGCAATTGATACTTGCAAGAGCTGCAAGGATGTGTTATCTTTAGGGATCATCAATTTATCAACAAGAATAACGATTTATTTCTTTTGTGCATGTATTTTTAAATGATGATAATAAAGATGAAAGAAAAGACTGAGTTCATTGTGGTTTCTTACCTGGATCAAAAGGTTTTGGGATCTCTGGTCCTGTTGCACCGTGGAAATGAGGTAAAGGCAAATGTGGTAGCTGCCCTGAATCAGAAGGTTTTGGAAGTGGGTGAGGAGGTAAAGGCAAATGTGGTAGCTGCCCTGAATCAAAAGGTTTTGGAAACGGGAGAGGAGGCAAAGGCAAATGTGGTTGCTTACCTGAATCAGAAGGTTTTGGAAACGGGAGAGGAGGCAAAGGCAATTAAGGGTGGTTATCAGAAGGTTTTGGAATTGGCAACTGAGGATGGTTATTAGAAGGTTTTGGAATTGGCAATTGAGGGTGGTTATAAAAAGGTTTTGAAATTGGCAACTGAGGGTGGTTATCAAAAGGTTTTGGAATTGGCAATGGAGGGAGGTGTAATATTACATGATGGCATTTATCCTTAATATTACACCTTTATTGCTAATCATGGTTAGTAAAAATATTGAGGATAAAGGTGTAATATTGCATAGGTAGTTATATTGTTTGTGACTCAGTTCCATAATGAAGTTTTACAGTAGGCCCTATCTTAAAATATTGACAAGGTGCAAATAGGCTTGGTAGTTGACAGGTATATATTTCGAGTTTAGGTTTTTTTTTTTCAATTAGACATAATCCGATTTTATAATATTTATCCGGGCCTATGGTGTATTGAGCATTTGAGGAATTTTTAGGCTATTAAAGGAATTCTATGTTTTATACAATAATTTGATTTTCGGCAAACATGTCTGGGTGAGTCTGCTTCTAACTCTTACATCTCTATTTTAAAGTTGGCCATGTGTCTCATCTATAGCATAGAATATTAAAGTCTACCATAGAGTGTTTTCATTAGCATGAATTGAAATAGAATAGGAAATATTCTTGTTGATAGGTAAGCTTGATTTTTCATACGCAGTTGAACATGTACATGATGATGCCTTATATTATTAACCATGTACATCATCTATTGGTTGACTAACAGTAAGGGATGATGATTAATTTAGTTATGACTGATTATGATGATGAATTTTTTATGTATATAGGTTTTAGAAGAAAGCAGAAAATGGTGAGAGCAAAAAATACAACTATTCCTCATGAAGGCACATCGTCATCTGGAATCCAATTTTGAGACTTGCGACATAAAAAACAATACGAGGAGGTGTCGAAAAGAGATATTTGCCTTGGAAGAAGTTTGGATTTAGAACTTATAACAAGTTTAGGTTTAGGTGATGAAATGAATGGTTGGATTCATAATTTGAAATGGGACCAGTTGGTGAGTATTAGATAAGATGGATATAAGCATTTGATCTATGAGTTTTTTGGTAGTTTGGAAGTTGTGGAGATAGATACTGATGAGTTTCTGGCATATACAATGTTTTTTAGATTAAAGAATTAGAACTTTGTAGTGAGAGCAACCTGGATAGGATTTGATTTTAAAGGTTTGGATAACGTATCTAGAACGTGGGATTCCAAACAAGCTTGGATGGATGTTTCTAGGATAGGGATTTACCATCCACATAGGTGTAAATCTACAAAGTTTAAGAATCTTGCTATGAGAGTATTTCACAGATATCTGACTTACACATTTAATGGTAGGAAAAAGACAAATGGAAATGTGACAGTTGAGGATTTAATGTTCATGGAAGCAGCAATAGCAGGGAGGCAAGTAAATTCAGCGAAGTTATTGATTAAGAAGTTGCGAGAGGTTCAAGCAGAAAAAGGAGAAATATATTGGGGGATGCTTGTTATGTTAATATGTGAGAAGTTGGGTATTCAGATCACCCCTAATGATGAAGCAAATAAGATTAAGTTTTCTGCAAATAATGTGTTGGGGCATGTGACATTATGTAAAATGGGTTTGATTAAAAAGAATATGGCAGGAGAATGGTTTGTGATTAGGGATGAAATGGAGGGAGATGCCACAGTTCAAGAAGGTGTTAATGTTCCAGAAGGGGTAAATGAAGGACAAGTCTATGTGCGCAAAAGGAGAAGAACGAGTATTGAACCTGGATCATCTCAAAATGTAGAAGATATGTCTTCTCATACTTTAGACGAAATAGTAAGCAGATTTGAGCGAATGGAAACGTTTCAAGAGGAGCGTTTTTCACGTATTGAGAGGAAAATGCAAGAACAACATGATCAATTGCAAAGTGATTTCAACTCATTCGCATCAAGAATAGAAGAAACAGTTGACATCATTGGGAAACGCATGACAAAGATTTTCAGCATGATGAAGAACTTCTCAACAGCCTCCTCCTCCTCTAGTCAACCTCCACCCCCTGCACCATGATGAAGAATTTCTTAACAGCCTCCTCTTTGTCAACATTCTTGGGGAACACACTATGAATGTTAATTGTGATTATGTGTAGTTCAAATACTAAGTTTTATGTACGAAGATTAAATTTGCCTTTTGTTTATAAATAGATTGATTTCGGCGGATGTTCTTGATAAAGATTGCCTTTTGTTTATACATATCTCAACTACTCTTTTGAATGCATATGTATATGTAATACTAGACATACCCAAAGACATCAAAATTCAAATCTCAAATGAAATGCATATCCAAAATTCCATCTACAACGGGAGTCTGCAATGTGACGATAATATATGCTGAAAACAT